TTAATAAATTATTAAAATATGTGAACCAACTCTAAAGAAATCATTATTATTCGCCATCTTATAAAGTTTGCATTAATTGGCAATTAGGTGATGTTTTGCAAACTATTCAAATAATTAATAGTATAAATAAACAATCTAATAAATAGTGTTTATTATTTTTGTTGTCAATTCTCAAGAACAAAGAAAATGTATAAATTCACTGTCATGTGTTTTAGTTTTATTAAAATTCTAATTATTGTTTTTTAAAACAAACATTGCCAAGGAGTGGAGGTAGTTAAAATAATAATAGTGGTGTCAAGGGAAAAAACATCCCTTTGACACTCCATTTTTTTTTTTTTCATATTTGTGATCTAGAATTCTTAATCTATATGAAAAAAAAATTTAAAAGAAAACATTTACTAAATAAATTATGAAAAAATCAGCTATAAGGAAATCCTTATTATTTACCATTTCATAAAGTTTGAATTGATTCCAATAAATAATATAATAAATAGCGATGATTATTTTTTTGGCCAATTCTCAAGAACAAAGTAAATGTATAAATTCACTTTCATATATTTCGGTTTTGTTACAATTCTATTATTATCACTTTTTAAAACAATAAATATTGCCGAAGAGTAAAGGTAGCTAAAATGAAGACAGTACCATAGGAAAAAAACTTCCTTTTGGGACGCCATCTTATTGAGGACATGTTTATCCATGATTGCCAAGAAAACATTATTAAGGAGAGAGAGAACAATAGAAGAGAAATTAAGAAGACAGAAGATAATGATTGAAATTGCATCTAAATTTTTGAAGATCAAAGTTGGCTGGAAAGCAAAAAAAAATACAATTCAGCACAGATTATTATTTTTGTTGTAAATTCTCAAGAACAAAGTAAATGTATAGATTCACTTCCATGTTTTTTTTTATCATTTCCCTCCAAGCAAGGTAATAAAGACCCAAAGACAGAGAGAAATGATATGAGAAAAAGGAGAACATTATTAAGGAGAGAGAACAATAAACAAAAAGGCATTAAAAAGACAGAAGATAACAATTGACATTGCATCTAAATTTTTCAAGATGAAAGCTAGCTGGGAATCTACAATTTGGCACAAATAGAGATAAAGAATAATTTTAATCTAATGTCAAAACCACCTTCGGGATATGAGCTGGAGAAAAAAATATTCCAACTTTTTTTTTTTTTATTATTATTGTTTAATAAACTAGACACGATAATGATGGACATTGCATTTAAATTTTTGAAGATCAAATTTGTCAGGTTTTGGATTCTACTTAAGAGCATTCAGAAATTGCAGCCCTCAGTATTTACATGAAGAGGAGAAATATATTGAAAACATTTTCAAGCTCCTCCAATACCCTAACAACTTAATATTCAATAAGAAACAAAAGGTTCAAAAAAATATTCCTAAACAGAAAAGCGGTCCTTCCTGACAAACCCAACAATTGGCATTGCATTTAATTTTTTGAATATCAAACATGACTGGAAAGCAAGAAGCTAAAAGAGAGTTCCATAGGGAAGAAGTTTGAAAAAATAATCTGTTTTAGCATAGAACTTAGTTACACATAGACATTTCAAATGTAAAATGATGAGACCTATCTGCTAATCAAGTATGAGCTTAAATTCATAAAGACAAAAGTTCATCACAAAAATTAACAAGAAAATATTTATAGAAAAGGCAGAGGAAAGCTATGTTGTATAACTTTGGTTGTAGGTTAATCAGAAAAAAAAATTTAAGCTGATTGTAATATTTAAACACAAAGAAATGAAAGATATGGTACACAAATCTATACATTTGACTAATGGGTAATTGAATGACAAAATGAAATGCTACACACCCCATCACCCTAAGGGACTCTCTGCCCAGGCCAACAATGACTACATCTATGGAATCTTATACAACATCAATTTTTATAATATCCATACTTAGAGAATCTAAGATCTGTCTACTTACAACTACAACCGGTGTAACCTAAATTCTTTCCCTCTCACAAAAAACATCCCCCAATCAACATACAGACACTACCAGACATAAATGAAAATGCCCACTAGACGCAAATTCACACACATTATCAATGAAATCCCATATAGACCTAATAGAATTATGATACATAAACACAAGAATTATACACACAAACACTACTTGATTAAAAATACACGTGAGGTCTGCTTAACCAATGAAAAACAACACAAAAATAAAAAAAACAGAATTTTCTTTTCTCCTCTATATTTCATCTTCTGATGAGGCTTAAATAAAAGCGAAACGTTTTAATTTATGAACGTTACCGATTTGTTTCTTATCCTAGAATTCTACTGGAAATCCATATTTGATTTCAATTCTTTATATATGCAGGAGGCGGGTAGACACAAAAAACTACATACGGTGGCCCAAACTTGAAATATGCATGTTAGTAAAGAAAGATATTATTTATATATAAATCCTTTATTGCCTCGTTCTGACACAAAGACATATGATTGTGTCACTCAGTGAGAATCGTACAAATAATTGTCTGCTAAGAAGTTTGTTTACTACAACGAGATAACTACAATGTAACAATATTTACTAAAATCTTAGTCTGAGGAGAAAAAAATGTGTTGGGCACCCAGTTAGGATCGAAATCTCTGCAGTAAGAACAATCCAGTCCGTTGAGATAGCTTATACAATACAGCATGCAAGACGCTTAACTTGATTTCTTTGCGAGAACGTGATCCTAAGTTGTTAAAGCCTTGTGTCAGACTTAACAATAAATCGAAGCAGGTAATAGTTTGTTATTATCTAGTTTACCGGCGACAAACGAACTGTATTGTTCCATCAACAGTGTGCTTTCTTTCTGTTAATTTTGTACATTTTTTAGTAAACAAACCCTGCCAGTTACACTTACGCGCACCGTGCTCAAGATGCCGGCTCTAAGGCTAAGATCGGCGAATTAGGTATATAACTGTTCTTTAAATAAAAATTATTTAGTTAGATACATCTGAGATTAAATTACAAAGAAAACAATATTAAAAAAAAAAAAAAAGTCACAACATGAGTGAAACAGAAAAATATTTTTTCTCCGCAATCTGTGTACGCGAAAACCGTAAACAATTTTTTAAAAAAAGAGCATACATTTTTTTTTAAACGGAAAAAAATTGAAAATGATTATTTAAATTTAATTTTATGGTGGGGCAGAGTTACAAGAGCGAATATCTTATTTTTAAAACTTACCACTTTATCAACGTTCTGCCGGGTTTTAGACACAACGAGAAATTATTAAATTAAAAAAAAAAAAAAAAAAATGATGTCTAGAAAAAAGTTTACAGTGTATTATTATTTATCAATTACCAGTTTCTGATATTTTAAGCTAAATTTAAGCATATATATATATTGTTCTATAACAAGTAATAAATATCGCTATTATATCCCGTAGAGGCTTCCATACGGTGAGAGAACCTAAAGTCATATAATGAACATTTAGCAACACACACAAAAAAAAAAAAAAAAAAAAAAAAAAAAGGACGAAGATTTTAGAGACGAGTCGGCGCTTTTTACTTACCAATAGTCACACTTCTCACTCTGTTATGACCTTCTCGGGAGCGATAGACAAACAGAGAAAGACGTGACCGCAAGAAAAAGCGAAAAATAGGGTGGAGATGTTTTGAAGGAAATTGTGTTTTTTTTGTTTTTTTGTTTAAATTCAAAGGTTTTCCAGCCTTTACGTACGTGCGTGCGGATGCTAAGAGCACAGCCGTCTGGGGGCGCTGCAGTTCCGGTCTTGCAAGTTATCTCCCCCTTAGCTGCCCTAACAACACTTACCTACCCTTGTTTCCACCGCTAGGCGTCGCTCAGAAACAACGAAATAAATATCTTTTTATAGCAACTCATATTGGGATGATTCTTTTTTTTTTTATCTTCCTTTTCTAAAAATAACTGATAATTGTTATAAACAAGCCTTTTAATGATAAAAAATAAAAACTGACATCAATTTTTAAATCGCTAATAGATTTTCTGTAAAACAGTTATAAAAAAATATTTTCTATATTGATCAAGCAGGATTTAAATCGCCAATTTGAATGTACAGGGTGGTCCGAAAATCTTGTCACTCTTCCAAATTATCTGAAATGAAAAAAAAAAAATTACGTATATACATAAATAATGGTTAAAAAAAACTTTCGGACCACTCTGTATATTAATTTAAGAACGTTATTTCTTTAATTAAAATATATATTTTAAGAAGTGCGATTTGGATTTATTTTCTAAAATTTCTTGGCATTTAAATTAATATAATAAATTAAATATATAAATTTTAAATACAATATTGTTTTATTACTAACTTTTAACAAGAAAATATTTTTTTATAAGTATTTAAAAAAATATTGTAACACTAAACTTTAAACGTAAATTAGTGAAATTTGATGCAAGGTCACAATTTAAAAAAAAAAAAAAGTAACATTTTTTACGTGTTTTTAAAGGAGATAATACATCTATTCTTTTTTAAAAACATTTGTCAGACTGGTTCTCTAAACGACAAGACTGGTTTAACTTATTGTCAAAAGTACTCAATTTAAAATGATTTATGAAACGAAAGGACATGACTCAACTGCATAGCAAGTATTTCCGGTTGGGTGTACTGCCCTAATAGCTACAAATGATTCACTGTCCCGCCTACGCTCTGTCATAGTTAGCTACATTTGATTTATTTCAGTAAAAAAAAAAAAGTAGGGAGGAGAGAAAAGAATTTCTTAGCAAAAAGCCACAGGCAATGGAATGTTAAGCGGTTTTACTTATATCTTGTCAAGTCAGTCTCATGAAAATGAATTAGGTTTTATTTTTATTTATTCCTGTTTTTTATTTGTTATTTTTATTACTGTAGTCAAGTAAAATATTTGAAATGCTGAGAGGAATGAGAGTTATTTGCCCTTTACAAAATGTTTAATTCATGTATCGACCGCTAGGAGGCAGTGGCATCGGAAACGCTGGGAAAGAAAGTAAAGAATTCAGGCGCATGTGAAAAACAGCATGGCGGCCTCCACAATTAAAAGACTACGGCCAAGGTATGCCGAACAACCAGAACAGGAACTGTTGGAGAAATCTCGCTTCAATAACGACAAGGTCTGCACCGATACATCCTTAGAACAAGAGACCGTAGAGAAAAAGATCCAAGAGATGTTCGAGCTCGCTCGACTAAAATATCACAGCGAGTATGAGTTGTCGCCTTCGGAAGACGAGGACAGCGATTCGAACCTAGATACAGAAAGAAGACACCCCCGATTGGAAAGGGAACACCACATCGCATTTTTGAAGTCGGGCCTAAAGGAATTGAGCAGTTCCTACCAGTGCCTCGATGCGAGCCGAACTTGGCTTTGTTATTGGATTTTACACAGTCTTGATTTGTTAGATGTTCTGCCACTACCCGAAGAGACAGTCCGACATATCGCCGATTTTTTGAAACGGTGTCAACATCCTGATGGTGGTTTCGGGGGTGGTCCTGGTCAGGAACCTCATCTAGCTTCTACCTACGCGGCAGTAAACGCGCTCTGTATTCTGGGGGACGAATATACCTATTCTGTATTGAATCGGCAGGGCCTTCTGGATTTCTTTTATAAAATGAAACAACCAGATGGATCATTCCAGCTACACGCTGGCGGAGAAATTGACGTGAGGGGCATTTATCTGGTCACCAGCTGTGTCGCCCTTTGCAACCTTATTTCCGGGCAATCTGTCTTGTTTGAAAACACGCCAGAGTGGGTTGTCAGCTGTCAGACTTATGAAGGAGGTTTTGCGGGTAGGCCAGGGCTCGAGGCCCATGGTGGTTATTCGTTTTGCGGCCTGGCTTCGCTTTGCCTGCTGAGAAAGGTCTCCCTGTGCGACACGAAATTACTCCTGAGGTGGATAGTCAACCGGCAGATGAAATTTGAAGGCGGCTTTCAGGGTCGCACGGGGAAACTGGTGGACGGGTGTTACTCGTTTTGGCAAGCCGGAGCGATACCTCTGTTGCAATCAAGCCTTGCGCTAGATGAAAAGGACTCTAAGGTTTCGACCGATTTGTGGTTGTTTCATGTTGGCGCGCTGCAGGAATACGTCCTGACTTCTTGTCAGCACCCGCGTGGCGGCCTCAGAGACAAACCTTCGAAACCCAGGGACTATTACCACACGTGTTATTGTCTGAGTGGTTTGTCAGTAGCTCAGCACAATGGCAGTAAGAACGTTCATATTTTAGGCGGTTTGGATAACGAACTGAAAGTTACTCATCCCGTCTTTAATATATGTGGAGATACCGTGTATAAGGCGCTGAACTATTTCAAAACTCTGCCAGTACCCGATACAAACAACTAAACGACTTTTTTTTTTTTTTTTAAATAAAAAAAGAAGAAAAGAACAAAGTTTCTGAAGTCTGATTTTACTGCTTTACAAGAGTTATCTACCTTGACAGTAGTAACTTGACCAAAGGGAGATAACTACATTACTTCCGTTTTAAAAACAACAATGGCTAACTGAAGCTCATTTGGACAAAAAAAAATGACATAAGTTTTATTTGTTTTCTTAAGGAAAGCGATTTAAATTTGTACTATCAACATCTCTAAAGAAATGACCATGTTAAATTCTTACATTGTAAAGATGAATAAGTTAATAATATCCATTTCTGTAGGAAATAATTGCTTATAAAATATCTTGTGTGACCAGAATTAGATAGGGACCAATAACTTTTCATGTATGATTTTCCAACAAAAAAAAAACTATAAATATTGAAGCATTCACCCTCAAAACCAACAACTTGATATAAAATATACCTGTACTTTGTGAGAATGTGTGTGTGTGTGTGTGTGTATATATATATATATATATATATATATATATTTCAAAGTTGTGCATTTAGGCAGCAATCCTTTCATGCAAGCTTCATTATGACAGACAAGGTGCTTTAAGTTTTTTTTTATATAATTTCTCGTCGTATAATTTTTTTTTCAGTAGATAAATTATGATAAAACTATGAACATAGATACAATATATTGACCATGTTTTGAATATGAAACATTTATGCATACAACAATCTATTTCTAGTTAACTGTTAACATATTTCAACTTTGAAAAAGGCTAAAGTACTTGGAAAAAACATTTGAACAGTTTTTATGTAATTTATCTACTGAAAATAAAATAAAAAAAATTATACGATCACATGAGAAATTCTATAAAAAACTTAAAGCACCTTGTCTGTCATATTTAAATTTAATGAATTTTCATTCGTGTGTGTGTGTGTGTGTATATATATATATATATATAAGAATGTAACCAGCAAGGGAATTCTTTTCTTTTTATTATTGATCACTTTTTCTTTTATAGAGACTGACAGGGTGTAAACTGTTTTTTTTTTTTTTTTTTTTATTCTTCATAAATGAAAATCTGAACAGAAATTTCCTTGTCTGTCACATTTAATGTAACGTGTATAGAAAGATGGCTGGCCATTGACATGTTTTATTGAATAATATATAGACTTATTATGTCTATTTTTATAATCCTTTCTAGTTCTCTAAGTCTCTTGATGTTAAGATGAAATTCATCAAGGAAGTACTTAAAGAATAAAAAAAACTATGGTGTCATCCTTGATAAATTTCATCTTAACATCAAGAAACTTATTAGAGAACTATAAAGGATTATTATAAAAATAAATATGTCTGTATTATTCAATTATGCTGCATATATAAAATTGTGTCTGTAATATACACATATGATAGGATAAGGAACAAATAGAAAACAATTATAAATTTAACATGTTTCTCTTTTATTTAACCTTCATCAGAAAATGACATATGGAAAAGAAAATTCTGGTAATTTTTTATTCATTTATTTATTTATTTTTTTGTGTTGCTTGTTTTCATTGGTGAAGCTGACATCACATGTATTTTTTTTTTTAGTCAAACAGTATATAATTCCTGTATGTATCATGATTCTGGTTGGTCTATGTGGGTTTTGATTAGGGTGGCATTTATTAAATAAATTTAATTTAGATTTAATAAATACCACTCTGATTAGAAAATAGCATAATTTATTATGTAGAAAATACTCAGAAGGAATCCTCATCAATATTTTACCATCTATAAGGACATGCCAAGCATGCAAACTTTTATTAAAAAAAAAAAAACAAATCTAAGATTTGTCTACCTACAACCACAACTGGTGTAACCTATATTCTTTCCCCTCTCACAGAAATAAAAAAAAAAATCCCTCAAGACTCTACCAGATATAAATAAAAATGCTAGTTGCACTATGCATAGAAGTATCCCACAGAAACAACCTATAATTTTCGTACACAAACTGTTTTAACTAAAAAAGGTTACTGAATAAGAATAACCAAAACAAAGGTTGGAAATGGAATGGTAATCTTTCTATCATTAACATCATACAAGATTCACCAGCAGCATGTAATAAGTAATCCACTGTTAGTGGTGAATTCCACCCACTCCAGACAGTATATTCCACTGTATTTATGAGGATTGGGACATACCCATTATAGTCTATTAGTACGGTATAACACAAAAACGTAAGAATTCTCCACAGAAACATTGTTTGACAGGACAAATGCATGTGAGGCCTGCTTAGCTAATGAAAAACAAACAGCATAAAATAAATAAAAAGTAAAACAATTTCCTTTTCTCCTTCGTATTTCGTTTTCTGATGAATCTTAAATAAAAGCAAAATATGTTAAAAATACATAAATGTTTCCTATTTGTTCGTTATCCAATCATTGTCCGATTTGATCCCAATTCATACATATGCACACACACACACACACATATTTTTATTATAATTACCATAAACGTTACTTTTAGTCGGTCATGTATTTGAGTTAATATCCTTGTTTTCTTATCTTAAGTCTGGAATTAACAACCGGCTTAGATTGAGAAGTCCTACTTTTAATTTCACTAAATTAAATAAACGAGAAGACTTCAGGAAACCACTCCACTATCTTTCTCAAAATTGCATGCAGATAACATTTTTCTCTTTTTTAAATTGGAAAGAAAAAAATGGAAGTTGTGGAGAATCATAATCTACATCCTGAAGTATCAGAAAACCAAAGGTGCCCAATTTTTTTTTTTTTTTTTTTTCTTCTTCAAACAGGGATATGTTTGGAGTTGGACAATACACAGTCTGACCAGAATTTTTTGTCTTTTTCAGATAACCATTAAGTGTTATGTATTGCAAATATCAAGAGAAAAATTTTTTATTTATTTTTTTTTTTTTTTTTTTTAAATTTTATTAAAGTTAATTGGGTGGGTCCAGTTTGCCATATAAATTAATTGTGAAATGATCTTTCCCCCCACCCTGCAAGCCAAAACAAATAACCTCCTGTCTCCTGATTTTGTAAAATGTGTGTTGTTTTTTTGTTGTTTTTTTTTTTTTTTGTTTGTTTTTGTTTCCACCCCCACCCCCCTTTTCTGGAGAGCTTAATAATAATGAAAAAAAGAACTCCAGATTATGAATTTCAAAAATTTTTCAACATTCTCATATTTTATTTTATTTTATTTAAAATTTTCTTTATTTATTTGAGGTGTTTTTTTGTAGGTGGATTAATTTATAGTGAATTTTTACACCAAACTGCCCCCTTGCAATTGACTTTTTAAAGACAATAAAAAAAAAAAACTTATATATCTGATGAAAATGTATTTTTATGGCATGCTATAATAATGGGTAAAAATACTCAATATAAGGAATATTGCATAATTTTACAAGTGGATATTGAGGTAAATTCCAAGTGGTTTGAATACATGAAACAGTGTTGGCCTCGGTATCCACTTATACATACACTTAAGCAAGAGTCACCAGGTTTCCTAAGAAAATGGTCAAGTTTGCTTTCTTTTTTATGGAAGCAGTTGATGGAAAGGAAGTTGTTTGTGATTAGACTATAAAAGCCAGTGAAGCTGCTGCTATGTGTGTGTATATATATTTGTGTATATATATATATTCCAATTTCTTTTTCTCTGTACCCCATTCTCTGTTGAAGCTTTAATAAAAGTGAAACATGTTATATTTATATATGCTTCCTTCCTATTTGGACTTTATACATACATATATATATAATGTTTTATATGTGTGTTTTTTATATATATACTTATGTGTGTTTTATATATATATATGTGTGTGTGTTTAATATATATATAATGTTTTATATATATATATATGTGTGTGTTTAATATATATAATGTTTTATATATATATATGTGTGTGTTTAATATATATAATGTTTTATATATATATATGTGTGTGTGTTTAATATATATAATGTTTTATATATATATATATGTGTGTGTTTTTATATATATAATGTTTTATATATATATATATATGTGTGTTTAATATATATAATGTTTTATATATATATATATGTGTGTTTTATATATATAATGTTTTATATATATATATATGTGTGTGTTTTATATATATAATGTTTTATATATATGTGTGTGTTTTATATATATAATTTTTTATATATATATATGTGTGTTTTTTATATATATAATGTTTTCTATATATATGTGTGTGTGTTTTATATATATAATGTTTTCTATATATATGTGTGTGTTTATATATATAATGTTTTATATATATATGTGTGTTTTTTATATATATAATGTTTTATATATATATATATGTGTGTGTTTTATATATATAATGTTTTATATATATGTGTGTGTTTTATATACATAATGTTTTATATATATGTGTGTGTTTTTATATATATATATGTGTGTTTTTATATATATATTTTATATATATATATATATGTGTGTGTGTTTTTATATATATATATGTGTGTGTTTTATATATATAATGTTTTATATATATATATGTGTGTGTTTTATATATATATATATGTGTGTTTTATATATATAAATGGTTATATATATATATGTGTTTTTTATATATATATATGTTTTATATATATGTATGTGTGTTTTATATATATAATGTTTTATATATATATATATATGTGTGTTTTTATATATTTATATGTGTGTTTTATTTTTATATATGTATGTGTTTTTATATATATATATATATATATTTATATATGTGTGTTTTTTTATATAATTATATGTGTGTTTTATATTTATATATATGTATGTTATTATATATATATATATATATATATATATATATATATATATATATAAAATAGCTAAAAATTATCTAACATGTTTCATTTTATTATAGCTTCACCAGAGAATGAAATCCTGGTACTTTTATTTTTGTTTTTTTTTTATTTTCAATTGGTCAATCATGTTTTGCATGCATTCAGCTTGTATTTCGTTAATATAATTTGTGCCATTCCGAATTCA